ATTTGTAACTATTGTACTTGGAAAGACTTAACTCGAAAAGACTACATATTTGTTTAGGTTTGAGTATTTTTTTTGTTTTAATATGGTTCGAACATCTTAGCTGTAATTATTTGAAGAAAAAAATTCCAACTACTTATTTAGAATCGTTAAAAAGACGCCTTAACTTTCGCAATTTCCTCGCTCGGCGTAAAGATGTCGATGCTTCCTTGCCTGTCTCATTTCATTTGTGCACTGATCTGAAACATCGGTGAAATGGGTTTATGATCATGGTGCTCGTAGTGTTTTATAGAAGATGCATTCAGATTTCAGATCATGCTCAGTGACACAGAAGGTAGGCCTTTAGTGACACGCACACCATCACGTAATAAGTGTTTGGTGACATCCAATCTTTAGATATTTTATGACATTTCTTTTACACTTATAAACTAAATTTTATAATGCTTTCTTTTTTAAATATATATCAATATATGTAGTATAATATAAATATGTGAGACATACAACTGATGAACATACCTTTTTAAGAGATCTCTTCCAAGTACCCATTAAACTTAGAGAAAAATATAAAAGAAGTACACCAATGTTTTGAAAAGAATGAATAGTTATGTTTGCTTTAAAAACTATTCTTTGAATGGAAACCTCTATTGGTTGTAAGAATTTGATTGGAAACAAAATAGTTGCATATATATAAAATAGTTGTAGATAACGTTTTCAATTTAGTTTTGTCGTCAGAAATTTATATAGATTCTGTAAAATATTGATGTTGTGTGTAGTAAATTTATAAAAGTTACACCGTATTTATTCATATATATATATTTTTTTTACAAACAAGATGTATTGTCATATATCTTTTGTTATGTTATTGTTAAATTGAAGTCCTTAATAGTTCGTATGATAAAATATTATAAATAACTTTAAAAAATCCTTTATACTTATTTCAACATAATAATAACTCAAGTATCCTAAAAAAACTCATTTTCAACTTGGGTAACCCTTATGCAAATATTTTGATTATTGTTCTGGCCAGTCATAACTTTTTCATTATTGCGTATTTAAAGTACCTACTTTGAGAGCTCCAAAAAGAGTTTTGAAACTTAGTCACTGTTGACGTAATGCTTTAATAATAAAATATTTTTATGATAAAACTTAAATTCTAGTTTATAAGACATTTCAAATTTGAAAGAGAATTTATTTTCAACTTATTAATATTTAAATGATTAACTAATATTTTCGGATTTTTACTTCGCGTTTTTATTTTTGATTATGAACTACAATATACTCCCGACGTTTCGGCTACTTTTCAGCAACGATTTTATTAATATTTATTTATAAGAGACTATCATCTCCATGATATGGTTTAATGTCAAGATAATCCGGCAACTTTTATTCATAAAAATACAGTACAGAACTAACAAATAAATATATTTTATTATGACGAAACATTAGCCTTTTAAGAAAATTCTACAATTATATTACGAAGTTTTCTAAATTTTTGCGTCGATAATACTAACTCATTTCTTCTTTTTATATTATCTTACATTTATAATACAAAAATAGTGACGTAAGTAGAAGCAATTTAATTTATAGAGAGGCAGTAAAAGACATCAAGTTGAAGAAATAAAAATGGTGCAGATTAAAAAGACCAACGATTCAACAATAGAATCACAGGCTGAACTTGAGCTTTGTTTACTGACTGTATGGAAGAAGAGTACTTTGTAAGGACTCCACATACTTGAGAATTGTCAGTACTATACAATGAAGTTGAACGACGCATCTTTGTGACTAATTAAAAATGTTACGTCTCATTGTGCGTGTAATGAGAGAAAAACACTACGTTACTTGAATTAACTATCAATTTTATTTATGATGGTTTATATATTATATTGTTGGATAACACAAAACTCACTATCGATTTCTCCTACTATAAGTATACCAAGTTGACATGACAGAAGCGTAACTGAACTTTCATTCGTTAAAAAATATCAAAAACACTGTAAGGCATAACAGTAGTGATTAAACCCAGTGTTCAAAAGTTTTCTATATTTTTAATTGTTATTCAATCCAAAAATTATATATTTTCTTGTAAACACTCGTCTATTCATGAAAATGAAATTTGAGTTATTCTAATAAAACAAGTCGATGTTTTGCAGACCGGAACTTAAAGTTTTATTTGACACTAGTTTTTGAAATATATAGCTAACTGGGTGAGCTATATTCCGCCTTAAACACAGTACATGAGAAGATTTTGCTTTTGATCTTTTTTTCTTTTTTAATCAGATGAAAAGTGTCCTAAGTCCTTTCCCTTGATCTAAGCTATCTCTCCATCATTTCTCATCCGTTCTGCCGTTCTTGAGTTATAAATAATGTAACTGATACGACTGACTTTTAAATATAAAGATATATAACATCAATCCAGTACAAATGGCAGCATGTGTATAGCCTGGAATATACTAAAACCTTTTTTAAAGTTGAGTTTACATAGCTTTGTGGAACGTTAACTTAAATATAAAATTAGTTTTATTCAAATAAAACCAGGGATCGTAGAGCATGTCAATGAAAAAATCGATCTTTTAATTCTAACTTCTGCATTTCCTAACTACATTATACGAGTCTACTCCTTATCAGTAACAAGCTGAGTTCTGGATAGTATATTACTTCTGGCTTCACTCCAATTCGATGTTTTATTACACGACCTGCCTCTTAAATTTACAAAAATAACACCGAGTCACGGTGAGCAAAATTAGACGTTGTTCCGTATGAATAAGGTTCAAGTCATCCGAATACTTATTTTGGTGGATAATGACTGTCAGAGGTCGTTTATCTGCGGTAAAAACATTTTGAACCTTAATTCTTAAGTTTTAAGATATCGACGTGGTGTTATTTTGAAACTGAATAAAAATTTATATTGTTGTGAATTTGTTTTCAATAATTAAGATATAAAATAAAAAAGATTTTTTATATTTAGTGTATACTGAAAAAATCATGTCAAACTTTATCTTTTTTAAGAACCAAATATATTGTTATTAATGTATAAGTAAAGCAACCTTTATACTGGACTGTTTAGAGACAGGACTTTAGAGGTTCTCTTGCATATTCTAGAGAAATATTTTTTCTTGTCCAACCTAGGCTATCAAAAGATTACTGCTATTATTATTTTTTATTCCAACAAGTATAGATTGAAAAGAATTGAAACGGTGTTATAAAATATGAACAAGATTTAATATACGGTACGATATTTTGTTTCCTTTACGATCCATGCATTTTATTTCCATCTTACAGTTTTCACATAACTCAGGAATCTTTCTATCTCAGTAGTAGTTAATATCAGGGTGAAGAGCTTTCAGTGAGTAGACAGAATAAGTTATTTTTTGAGATAAAGTAAGGATTCATAAACCCTTAATAATAAATGTCTTATACTAACAGTACTTTCAGTCTCTTTTCAGCGATGTGACTTAAATAAATATAATTTTAAATTTTTAATATTATGCCAATATCTGTGTAAGTGTAGTCCATTACTCGGTTTTAAATATTCACTTCGTCAAAGCAGTAGATATAATGAAGTTGATTTAAATGCGCATCTTAAAATTTTCTACACTTTAATTGATTTAAGAAAACTTTGATATTTAAATTTTCCACGATATTTTTGGACTAATTTTCAATAATAATCTTGGACTAAAAATATCCCAAGTGATGAGAAAGTTGCTCACATTCAAAGATACTTCTAATAATTTATTCTACTTAATAAGTTTTCTAATTTTGGTTATTTTTATAGTAAATTAATTTTATTTCTGAGATTTCAAGGTTTCTGACAAAAAATAATAATTAAAAAAACAGTATGCTTAAATAAAAAAACTCTTAAGTAACTAATAAATTTATTTACATATTCACATATAGTATTGTAACATGAAATAAATACATATGGCTTAAATCTAGTACACTCGGCAACACAGCTCTTTAACATATTAAATTGACTATTGTCTTAGACATTGAACATAAAACATTATAATACTTTTACGTATAAACTTTGGTTGCCGGTTGTACGTATCAACTATTACTTATTACCGAGACCTGCTGACGTACACATTGTGCCGAATCAAAACAAAGGAAAAGGGGGATCTACATAAATAAGTTAGAGCATTCTGTGATACTTAAAGGGGAAAAATATGAATTCAATTCTTGTAAGGAATGCAGTACCTACAAATATTACTTACGGAGATTGTAGAATAGGATTAGTAGTGAATATTGTTTTAATTCAACATAATGTGTAAATAAAGAACCAAGCCCCATACGAATTTAATAAAAGTAAAACAATTAATATCAATGGTAATGATAAGAATTATGTTTAGTTAAATATTTGTACTTTCGATGCACATTGTATCATTTGAACAAGGTATACACCCACTAACTGTTAAGGACCTCTCACACCGACCCTACCTTCCCGAACTAACCTAAAACTTAATAACCAATCCATAAAAAGTTACCCATTTCAGCAGCCATAAAATCCATTGAACGTTCAAGAAGGGTCGAGGCTATACCAATAAAGCAGTTAGGGTACATAAACGATTTGCCTCTCGGCAATGTAAATACCATTTCTATTAAGGTTAATGTACAAACCATTATCGAAGTTCAGATACGAAGGAATTCGAGAACGCTTCGCGAAATGCGTGAGTGATTTGAGAAGTATTTGGATTTAAGTAGCTTCCAATTGAAACGATCGCCCTTAACGATAATACTTTTGAGTTTTTTTCTGCGTAAGAGTAATTGTACTCTTAATTAGTTTCCTTTTATTTATTTTTTAATGATATAATTGATCTTCCACACCCTGAAAATTCAACAGTCAACTAAAGTGCAGAAAGAAACAATCATTAATTATTGTCAATTTTTCAGGAACTCAAACAATAATTTTAAATTATAATAAATGGTGGCTTGGTTTAAAGGCCCTTAATGTCTATCACAACATTCAGTTTCATATTTTCTTATAACAGCATCATTAGTTCTAGTGATCATAACGCAAGTAGCACCGCGCTCACTATCGCTAAAACCATGTCGAAACTTGCGTTTTCACCTGCGAAAAGATATTGAATGCTTAAAAATAAATTTATTAAATCGACGGGTGGCTTTATGTCAAACCATAAAGTCAAAGTGTAAATATTTTGTTATTATATACGTACACTTTTTATTATAAAAAAAATAATTTTATCGCTAGTTATTTTGTAGTATATATAAAGTTGTGCGTTGCATTATTGAGATGATTTTTTTGTCTTTAAATAAAGAAAAACTTCAAGTTCTATGACGTGTATTTTAGCAGGGTTCTAAAGTACATGTGAACGAAATATTATACGCAAAGAAATAATATAATAATATAGGTTAATATATCCTTTACCTGCTGAATCTTCTCCAGTAACGGAAGCTGGATGTGGTGCATCTTCTCTTATGAAAACTGGCTCACTCTTACGGGCGTAGATATCAAAGATTGTTGCTACACAGCCAAGTGCGAATTGGGAGGTCGGAGGAGGTACCATTGTGTATCTAAAAATATATTAGCTAATGAGAGAGTATAACTAAAAGAATTCATCCAAGATCATGAAAATCTTCCACTAATTTTGCAACAAAATATTAATTCATATATATATAATCACCTAATTTGAATTTCAAAGCCAAAATCGTTTTTAGTTGTAATAAACTAATCCGGATAATCGATGTTCATATAACCGGAATTCTATTAGAAATGGATTGAACCGTAGCTAAATGACTATTAAATATTAATGATAACTATCAATAACCACTTGTTAATGAAACATTGAAATTTGATTGCTATTTATTTAATAATTTTGATTATTATCCTTATTGAAAGCGTCAGTTTGTTCTGAGATTAAGAGACGAAACCTCTTAGCATTCAATGGATTCACCGTGCGGGTGCCGGGTCCATCGCGTTGCAGGGAGAGGAGCTTCAACAGTGCCTGGGACTTGCGACCCAGGTGTAGGTTTAAGGGGCCCCTTAACTAACGCGCGTCATACGCTCACCTCTACTGTCCAAGTTCCTCCTTTCCTTACCTTATCAAATCCGTATCTTCTTCTAAGTCTCTGTCGTAGATGTAATGATCCTGATACGCTCTGTTCAGACTGGCGCTGGTATAAGTCAGTCCCACCTTGTAGTGTTCTGCCTCTAGTACGGTCAATTCCAATTGACTAAAAGCACCTCGCTCTTTGAAGTCCAAATCAGAAGTCTTCCAAGATATAGTTTCTGCTATCTGTGGAACAGAAATGTGATTATTTAAGACATTTATAACGATACCTAATATTAAACACAATTAAATATAATATGTAATTTTAAAATATACTACACTCTTTTATTATTTTATATAACATTTAATCGATGTTTCGTTCATTTAACAGCGACCGTGATTCCGGGAAGACCAGATAAAAGCCATTCATTTACGTGGAAAAAAAATAAAATAATATAATAATGACTGAAGTTTATTCGAAAATCATAGTTTCATTTAGTAAAATCGTTGTATCACAATCATAATTACAAATTAATAAATGAGTGAATGCCTGTTCATTCTTAATAAACAAAAAATTTACAGCTACATCACCTGTAAAATAAAATATGGTATATCTGTGAGCTGCAATCAGTTAAGAATTGAGTTTAAAAAGTGGTAAGAATTTTTGCAAACTGTTTTTATAATTCAGATGCACTTTAAAGAATGAAACAACTTTAAAATTTATATTTCAATCTGAATAAAAGTTAATACTATGGTAACTAATGTACATATATTGGTAATGCTTCTGCAGATTATAATTTATAAACGAATACAAACTTGCCTGAATATTAAAAGCTGCTTTTAAAAGTTCTTACTTATGTATTGTACAAAATATTCTTATAAGACTGTTCATAATAATATAAAGACTGAATGATTTCTTCATTGTAAATTAAATACCATTCTTCATTAAAAGTTTTCGTCTCTAGAATTCGATTGTTTACTCAAAACAAAACTTTAGTCGCAGAAGAAAACTATTCATGCTTTAACTTTTGCTTCGGTGAATTTTTTTAGGATCGTTAAAAATTCCAAAGTCGTCTGTTAAATTATACAAAAACACGGCGTATTTAAAATTCATGAACAATCAAAAGTTGTCCGAGGAATCGGTCTTTATGAATTCGAAGACATTACCATACCGAGCAGATGTTCTCATTCCGAGGAAATCAGAGACGAAAGCGAGGAAGATTATTCATAGATTTTTAGAGTTCCTCCTCAAAGGGAATTATATTAATTTTTATTTTGCTTAAGGAATACAGACATATGACTATCATAACGAACATAGTTGTTTAAGATTCATCCTTAATGTACTAAAAATACCGTCTCTTTTATCATAGCAGGTATCATTAAGCCAGTGGTATCTGTCCTTGAATAAAATAAAGTAAGGTAAAAAAATAGCTTTAATAGCAAAATATACAAATCTAAGCCACCTTTGTAGAAAAATAGCATTATTTTTCGTTATATTCCTGACCGCTTTTTATACTAGGAGCATTTACTTTTGTTTACATTTCACTTTGTTGTCTGGATTGAGTCCACTCGTTAGCAGCGGAAAGGTTTTTTCTCAATTTGTCGAACAAACAGACCAATTCCTTATTTATAACTATTGTAACTTGACCTCCAATGATGTCTTTCGCTATCATAAGATTTAGTTTCTACGTCTTTGATATTAATGTTTTATTTCTGTATTCAGTTTCTTGTATGATAATAATTTTCTTTATCATTTATGAAAACTTGGATTACATTTCAATCTCACAAATAATATTAATTTAAAATAACAATTCTTGAGTCTCATTACTCAAAGTTATTTAATTGAACTTCTATTCGAACGTCATTCCTCTAGTTAGTTGCTGTATCACAGAGACGTTTTAATATTTTCAAGTATTTAAATAAATTATAATGTATGCTAGTATTGTTTCATTCTGCATTTATATCTAAATTATCAGTCGTTGTATTCTGGTCACGGGCACCTCGCATTTGATTATTTCGTTTCTACAGTCGAAGTTTAACACAGTTATTCTGCTTTATCTTTTCATTACATCGCTACTTTGCATTTTAATAACTGACTTGAATAAAATGTTCCATAACAAGTTCTCTCGACTCAGTTCTTACGAATACTTATTTATTTATAAGAATTTTTATCAGTTTCATAATAAATATTCATTGAGGTCCGACTTACGATTATTATTGTGAAATAAAAGTAAAAGAGGTATTTAGTGATGTCGGTAGTAGATTGTAACATTGTCTGTATTTTGAAGACAATTCTAGATTTCCCATAGGAACATCCGAGCTTCATTGTTCAAACTCAATTTTAGCTTATGCAGGATGTTTCGATACCAACACTTGTATCAAATAAAATAAGGTAGGAAATAGTAAATATCCGTGGAATATCGACCTTCAGTTGATAAATCGCTTGAAGTACAGGCGATAAATAGTAATCTACATTATTGATAGCTTACTAGTTCGAGCCGTCAGCAGTACGATTTAAATTATCTGAGGCGCCAAAATTAATGACGATACTGTAGTATTCAATAAAATTATATTGAATTCATCATATATGTCTTGTGCTAAGTGGAAATACTGAATGGGAGAAACTAATATAATAAAGTATCTTAAATTTAACAATACCGAGCAAGTATGTATTACTAATACATAACACATACATATAATGATATGTAACATTTAAATAAAACGAAATGATTCTAAGTTTTTTAATATGTATTACTAGAACTCTCAGACTATCGTAGACTTTCATCTCGCCTAACCATGATCATTACTTTGCAGCAACTGAAACGTCGGGATTATGTAGTTGTAATATAATAAAAGACGAGAAGTAATATCAGAAAACCTTAGTTTCATTTTTATACGGTACATGTACTTATAAAGTCATTCAGTTTCATTCATATTCATTCTATGAAGTTTATTTTAACGTCGAAACCGTATCCTACTCTACACTTTATTGACATATACATATTTAAGTCAGTTCTCAAAAATTTAATCTCAAAGTCGCGGTTTAATTCGAAACAAGTTCTTTAAACAAGTTAAAACGACTGTTTTGGAAGTAATATGATTGCTTTATTTCAAGAATGAAACTTTCGTCTTGGGGCATCGCAGCAAGAAAAGGATTTATACTTTGGAATGTTACTGCATTCCTAACAATTTACACGTTGAATTAAATTGCAGGTAGCTCGAAACGTCAAGTCCCAAGGGAGTAGTGTCGTTCAGACAATTTGTAGCCTAGACTTCCTAGGTACGAAGTAAAATCTATTTATATGTCCGTGCCAAGATGAACTCTTGGGATTGGAGTGTTATTTTATGGAAATGAGAAGTTAATGCCGGATGAAAGAACGTATTCATTTCGTGAATAGTTTTTTAATTAACAACGGGAAATCTTCTTGTTGGGTTTATTATTTAAATTCTCTGCGATGAATAAACAGTTGATTATATATACTATATATTTCTTTTGAGTATGTATAAAGAAACATAATCTTTGTTATTAGTTACCTTGTGGTCATCCAAAGTCCAAGTTATGTTGGGGGAAGGGTAGGCTTCGTCGACGGAGCAATTGGCGCGTATGACGTCTCCTCGAGCATAACTCCTTTGAGATATTGAGAGATGTGGTGCACGGAACGGTGGATCTGTTTAGTAATATTAAATGATACTTTTTGTATTACAAAATTAATACTTATTATTATAAATCGACTAAAAGAATTAACAAATCACTTGCCATTTCAAATACAGGTATATAGTTTATAAAATAAAATAATTGTTATTAGTAAAATTGCGTACATGATTATCGCCATGTTTTTCTAACCGTGTTAAAAAAATATGTATTTTACGAATGAGTTACTTATGACGTTCATGTTTAATGAATATTAAAATCTCAATAATTAAGTTGCACAAAAATAATATTAAATCAGTTTGGAGACGTATATATATATCTATTGATTTGAAACATTCTTCTATTAATACATCAAATGACTCACCGACAACAGTGAGCGGAGCAGATCGTATATCAGTGTGAAACAAAGGAGCATCAGCTGACACCTCACACTGATAGTCACCGCTGAGACGTCTGTTTAGATTCACTATACGTACTTGTTGATGATCTGACTGAGCAAGCTGATGAAAAATATATTAAAACAAACATTACATGATCATCGGACCGATAAGATTAGCACAAATTACATTTATAACCCATTTATAAATTGACAAAAACAAAGTATGATAGTGATTAAAATCCAGCAATATATAACAAAGGAATCCGCTATAAAATTAAATGTATCCTCCAGAAAATGCAATCAACATGGATTTAAAATAATATAAATGTACCGTAACTGAAAGCCAGCGTTTTACTGCACCTGGTGCTGCCATTAAAATAATAAGTTGGAGCATTAACAGCTCGATGTAAGTCTTTAGTCAAGCGCATTTGTAGCTTTGTAAAGATTTATATTAACAGAGAATTATTAACTCACATCAACCGAAGCTCCCGGGAGTGGGAATACCATAGTTGGTGGCATTTCTCTTGGCACGTATCTGTAGAACTCAGTTTCAGCTCTGTACCATCTTATAGAGTATAACGCTGCTCCTTCCAGATCGTATGAGCATCTTAACACAGCTGATTGACCTTCACCAGAGAGGACAGCTCGAGGGACGGAGATCGACAGATTACGAAGCGACCAAACACCACCTGATGAATAGAAATTTACAATAAAAAAAGGATATATACTATTTTAGTTCATCGCCTCAAGGTATAGAGCAATAAAGATTTTTATTGGAAGAATAAAAATGTTATGACATGGCGATAAACATAAGTTATAAATTATTATTCGAAAATATTTATATGTGGTTATATTTAACGCCCCCTTACACCCACATTTCCCTAACATGCATATTACATACAATTTGCAAATGTATCCAAACAGCCACTATTTTTCAGCAACTCCAACCGTGAAATTGTTAAAATCACAAACAATTTGTCTCTATCCCTTGGGTGGTATAAAAACTTTTTCACCACCGAGCCCAAAAAACCATCCGTGAAATTATCTACTCAAGTTTCTTGGAAACACAAAATCCTTTGCAACTTTTACTCAGGAGACGCAACAAACAATGTTCCCGAGACATCAAATTCTGTATGCTGGGTAAGAATAAATAAAAAATGGCTTTAGTTCCTGATATCTCTTACAGTTTATTTCAGTTTTATGTCAACACTTTTTACATTCATAAAACTGTCCTCCTTTTCATATTCACCATGTCATAAATAAACAATTTTTAACCAATTTTTAATATTATAAATAAAAAAGTGATTATGTGCATTTATTACTATATTACTCTTTATTTTTACATACTTTCTAAAACTTTATATCTTTCTCTTATAAATCATCAATTCTTATTACACATTCAAGCATTTCAGATGGCTAGAAGTTCCAGATATTTTTTTTCATTTTATTTTACTTCGAATTCTAAGGTTGAATTTTTCATAGGAAGTTAAAAGGAAGTGTTAAATTTTATATAACCTTAGAAATAAACGGTCACTACCCAGTGACTAAAAATATTTGTTACTTATTACTATATAACATTGTTATGTACATACATCTTGAAACTGTTTCATTTATTGCAATTAAATAAGTCACAGAAGCATGAATTTAGTAACAAGTGTATATGAACGTATATTTTATTTTTAAGTAACAAAGTATCACTCGTCATAAAGGTTCAAGTAAACTTGAAAATCCACATGTATTTGAGAGAATGGAACAAAGAAGTAGGGTCAAAGCATTAATCATGGGACACCTGCTACCTTTGGGACAAAAGAGACTTCGTACGCGGCGAACAGTTTAATTTCGGTCTGCCCCGAATTCAAATAATTAGAGAGGATCTTTCTAATTAAGCCTCAATTTGAACAAAAATTAGTATAATAAGCATGATTATATTGCGATTCGCATTAAGCTTTATATAAATTTGGACGTAAAAATGTTCATTATCTTAGTCACGATGAAATGTTAATGAATATTTTAATTCTGATCACATAGCTTGTGTAACTATCAACAGTGAATGGCATCCTACAGTCAGCATGTAAGCCTACACATTATCAATCTCCGCTTCAAATCCGATCCGTCGTCTTACAAAGGACTTAATATCATTCTGGATGACCGCAAGTAAATTGTTCCAACCCTCTAACACTCGAATTATGTACGCCCTCTGTCCACAAGAGCTGATACAATTTATTAGGTATCTACAAGCAATATTCACCTTTGATACTACATTGTAAAGTCTATAATACCGTGTTAAGCACTGCTAATTCTGAGATTGTTCAGGTCAGGTGTATAAATTAGGATGTATAGAGCATTATTGCAGATGCTCAATATGGTTTAGATAGTCACGAAATATTCGTCAATGTTTTGGTCGTTAGGTTAAAATGTCAATGTTTTAATTATAGTTCATAATTTACTCTATAAATTACTCGCATTTTATATGCTAAACTATAACGATACTAAAATAAAACATATCTGATACTTATATAGTAATACTCAAGTTTATTTATACAATTTTAATGACTTCCAACGAGCAAATATTTACGTCATCATTTCAATCTTTCAAATATCATATTAAGAAATGTACAAATATTTTCTTTACAACAAATCGATTCAACAATCTTCTTGAAACTCTTTGATGTCGGTAATTTCCTCACGTCGGATCGAGACTTTCAATCATTGCGCGTTCGCTTGTAGCTAATGAAGGTAATAAATGTTCTCTCATGTGCGTACAAGCAGCAATGTATGGACGTCATTGTAGATAATGACGCTCCAGCAATAAGGGAATGGCCTGATAATAGTCTCGATATGATCTCTTTGGTCGGAGCTACAATGGGTTTGGACAAATATGATCGTTATGTCTGCACATCAAGAAAATGATATCATAAACAGTGTTCCACTTTCATGATTATATACGAATTTTTGACAAAATATTTTTGACTAATCAACCGCCTTACTGAAACCAACTAAATAGTAGAACACTTTACAATTCAAATATTTTATAGTACGAAAAGCAAAAAAATATTGTTCGCTAGTAAATTGGCGCATATTTTTCTAGCATTATATTTCTCTCGTTGTCATCGCTTCTTTGAGACAATATTTTCTGAAGGATAAAGCGCTTATGTTTTGAAGTGGAGACCAATTTGAGACATTTCAAACGATCAGGGGGAAACTGATTTTCTTTTGTTTTGCTAATTTATCATCGCCCACTTTCGGTATTGTCATGTTTTGTACACTTGGATAGAATTTGGAAATAGACACTGTAGTCATTAGTGAATCAATAGTATTAAACGAAATATTAAACCTAATAAATATAAATGTATTTTATTGGAAAGAAAATTTCCAAGTCATATTGTTGTGAAACAAATTAACAAGTATAATAGTTATCATAACTTAAAGTAAATGATTGTAATTTGAAATATCATTCTTAAAGTTAATGAGATGAATTCGTTTGTGAATTTGAAATTATTGTTTTAATTAAAACGTTATCAGGATATAAACTGTGCTTAGTTTCATTAAAACTTTTTAATTAATTGGCATACTTTCGAGAAAAGCAGGTGCAATTGCCGTTATTTAGCATTTTTATTATTCCATTGGAACTTTTAAACGAGCAAATTCAATGTACACTTCCACAACTGGGAGGTTCATTTCCTTTACGCCCTAACAAAAGCCTGCGTTTGGTGTGACGGCTTCAACTCTGTTGAATTATAGGACGCGATTATAAACCCTATGTCGTTAGACTAAAGAATCAAAATAATATTTTGTTGCACATAATAGAAATAACTTTGTGTTTTTTTTTTCAATTCTTGGCCGGAAATTTTGTGATGCAACTCTCGTTTTGGATTAGAAATGGGTTTATTTTAGTTATATTGTACGTGACTGTGCTGAAAAATATCTATTGTGTCCAAATGAAATTTACACTGGACGTATAGAATGAAAAATTCATTTATTTTATAATAATACTATCCCAACACTCGCATATATTGATGCAAAGATAAAAATTCACGTACAAAGTGTAATAAATACCAGAACTTTTATTAGAATATATCGTAAATTACATAGTTATCATGGTATATAATGTAACGTTTCCAATTAGTGTGTGCGGTTAATTAGTGATACGAGATTAGGCTTGTTAGTGTCCAATTAAGTGATCTGTATTTGTTGGCTGACATATTGACACTAACACCATAATTCTCTTACAATTTGTCTTGTAATAATTTTATACTGACAATAAAATTTATAATTAATATAAGACTAAATCGCCTTGTTATCGGATGTAGTTCTTAATGACTGTTCCATAAAGACATTCTAAAAAAAATCTTATCAAAGCGTGTCTATTATTATATCTATTATAATCAAATATTTTCTCCAAAAAAAGCACATAACTCACATAAGGATCTAGGATTCTCTTCAAATCCAGAAATTCTATAATGTCTTCCTTCACAACAAGAGTATTTGATAGAGCATGTTATAAAGGACTGTTCCATTTCAATCAAGCATCGGTGATAACAGAGGATAAACGGCTCAGCGATGCCCTAGAATAGATCTTGGATCATGTTGTATTCACTTGTCATGATCATTATATGGTATAATGTACTCGTGATATGAATGATTAAAAATAGTTACAACAGCTACCTAGATTTTCTAATGCATTTAGATTTAGGGCATTAATTCCTGTTCTTCTTGTGGTCTACAAACAATTTTATTTCTGTTAAAATTTATAGAATTCTAAAAAAGATCTTTTTACTCTTATAATATTGTATAAAAGTTTTGCTCAATGTGTGGTATGGTGTGGAAATATATAATTTTTTAAAGCTGTATTTCACTTAATAATCAAATTCTTTGCTGAACAAAACCAGATCCCTGACTATTTAGAGGTATACACATATCTTTTATGGGGTATATTACTCTGGTAATGGCGTACAAATAGTATAACTTTCGGTAAGAAAAGATAAAAAAAACGATTTACAGCCTGCGGGGCCCCACGAGACTGAAATAAAAAAAATCATCAAAGATCCTAGAAAGACATAATCAACTATAACAATTTTAATTGTTTAGTTTAATTTTAAATATTTAGTATAATCTTGCTAAACACATTTAAGATTTAAATATAATCTAGAAGAGTTTTAGTAAAATGTAATTGGGAAGAAAATACTTATAGAGTAGTTCAGCAACGCACTTGCAAACATGGCAAGGAGCTGTACCTACAGAAATGTTAAAATTTTTTCCTTAACCTAATCTAGAAAGTTTCTTATAATTTATATTTAAAAACATTCGTATTGAGACGATAGAAGTGATTTACAAGAATTACGTTGTTACACAATACATTTTAAAGCTAGTTTAAAAACAAAAGAAATTTTAAACTGAAAATTTAAAACAAATAATTGATGATACAAACAAATATTTGAGTTACTGGAGTCTAAAAACTAAAAATTATTTGTAAGTTTGTTTCTTACTTTAAAGAAACTATTTCTTGAACCCACCTTTTACAGTGCTGAGAAATTAATTTCGCAATTTTTTGCTTGTTCTTTTTAAATAAACACGGTAAATTGATATAAAGAAAAGTCTTTCTACTATTGGTGGCAGATGTTCTTTTCACGGACTGTGAATTGATAGAAATTCACTAATATTATATACCTAAGTGTGAATAAAATGTATATATAACCACCTAACTAAAATTCATATCACATTTACGCAAATTATAGTAAGACATAAGTCCTATATATAAGACATAATGGTAAACCACTAGCCTTCATTAAAGGTGGATCAAGACATAAGTAATGGAAAATTAAATTCAGTTCCAGTTTTAATCCTCTATAGTCTCAGGGCTTTATGTATTAATGAAGGGACGAAATGATCCGATAAATCAACAAGCATAGACAACTAAGTTGATAATGAAATAACTTAGGCAGAGAGGTAGACTTGTGAAGGGAACGGTAGCAAAATATTTTGCACATTATCGCTATCCGTAAGCAAGTTGTTTATCTATGTATTTTGCTCGGAAACTCCAGTATTCTGAGTTTATTTGATGAATTATCCTATCTGACCAAAATGTTAGTTGAACTAGGAATGACAGGTATAGAAGTTTTTCCAAAGAAAATAGATGATAAAAAGAAGAAATCATGTCAAAAAAAACATACATATATGTTTTTATTTTTAGTCGTCTAATTTTGTTCGGTGTAATAAAATTTTTACTTTAAATAATGGAGCAAAATAAAAATCTTAAAAATCCTATAAATAAGATTCATCCACTTACTGAAGTAGTTTCTATAAGCTAGTTTGTAAAGGCCTTTGGTATTTCATCCAAATAAGTATCAACCTGAAATCAAATGTGACTAAATTCGTAGTTCCTTTTGAAATGCAGTCTCAGCAAACCATACCATGGTCGTCGGTGGAACTCTTTACGACTGGATTTGGTTTGTATCATCTCTTTCGAGCGATTTGAATCTTTTCCAATCTCGAATAAAAACTTTTAAACGAAAAATTCCGAACTTAAATTTGTTTCTTTAAAAATTTATTCAATTTTCTTTAATTTTATCAGAGACATAGTTTAATCATTTCATTTCGTATTTCATTGTGTTAATAATATAAAAATATAGGTTTCTTTATATTTCCTTTGAATTTAAATAGATTTTATAGCTATTCTATAGAAAGTTCCTGCTATCGATTATTCAAATACCCAAAAACTAACTAACTAGTAAGTAAATGTAATCAGCAAAATCCAATCGCATCATCCATTTCGTCCATCGGCAGCTGATTGCGACGCTGACATTGTTACCTTCAGCAAACTGAACGAGCTCATTAACGAAATGTGATTAACAGTTCCGGTAACATTCGCTTGATTTGAATCCACAAAACACGTCGCTTCAAACACATTACGTTACGTTTAGATTCATAATCATAATGTTATTACAACAACGTTTGAATTCAAGTTGATTTATGTGACAGAATTCGTCTTAGCAACCAAATATCCAGAATTCTAAATATCTACCAAATTTTACTTATAAAAATTGCTATATATATATATATCGTCCTTGATATAAATATAGTATCAATGTATATAAATATTTTCGTCTTTGTTTTTAATAAATAAGCAGAAATTGGAAGAGTTATAAAACAAATTTCAGCCCTACTGTGATGAAAGCCAAGAGATTTTATTAACATGTTATTTATAGAAATATATTGAGATACAAATCTTAGTAATTACTGATATTCATTACATCTAATAATGTTATATTTTACGGTTGCGATATAATCAATATTTATATTATATAATTAATATCTGGATTCTGAGAGGAAAAATATTGTGTATGAAGAAATTTTAATATCATATATATTATATATTTTATTGAGTTACAAGAAAGAAGAACAATCAAACTCAATATTGGTTACTCGGTAATGTTACAATAAAAAAAAGAGTTAGTGTAAAAACGAATTTAAAGAAATATTTCTTATAAGCTATTCTGAATTTTAAGAAACCAATTTGTTATACAATAACATTTATCAGAAGTCATAAACATAGAAATGAGTTTATTTAAAAACAAAATAATGGCAATTAAGAAAAGAGAATATTTTTATAATTTTCGGAGAAATGAGAAATTGTTTGTGCCTTTTATAACATTTAGAAATTTTCAATATTTCAACTAATTTGTAGTAATTATTCTCAGAATACACGTATTTTATTTGTACAGGAATATATGATAGACCTTAAGATATTTTATTGTA